GACAAGTACCACCAGTCTCCACTACCTTCTTCTCCACACTTCCACTACTGAGCTCTGCTGCGTCCAGGTATGGCTGGCTCCCATGTCCTTTCCAGCGAGAGTGAAGGTGATCCAGGAATATTCAGGCTGGTCCTACGTGAAGGTTGGCGTTGAAGTGGGTCCAGTGCCCATGGAAGAGGCTGTTGTGGTGACATCAAAGTGGTCGCTAGGTGTAGGAGTGCCAATGAAGTGGGTGTCAGCCATAGCCGGACATAGCAAAACCTAGTGGTGGTGGAAGCATGGAGGTCCGGATAGATGGAAGACAAGCTTAGGGGGATTGGCAATACTTTACTTGATGTTGACAAATGGAGCCTGTGTGAGCAGAGTCTTCAAGCGGCATTGGGCCGTTGACTCGCGGACCGAGAGTTGGCATGTAGATAGGCTAGTCTGGTTGGAGCTAGGAGGTCGCAAGGGGGAGCGGGCCACCAGTAGGGGTACTACATTGTTGTTGTTTTGATCACCTGGGAGGTGGAGGCCGGACTTTCTTTTCCTGATTGGTGTGCATGTCGCTCTGGTTTTCTGCTTTCAACTCCGGGCAATCATCTATGGTCTTCTGTGAGATGTCGCAATCGGTTTATTGGTCTTCTCATTGCATGGTTCCTTGCATATTGGTTACACTTAATGATTGGCTTAATTATTCGTACCCAACAGTCAATGCACATGTGTGTTGAGTAATTCTGTTTTTTTTCTTTCTTTTGGTTTGAAAAAATTCTACAAACTATTCGTGGGGAGCAGCACGTGCAGAGAAACGGGTCACCATTCTGTAATGAGTGTAAAGAACCATAAGGCTGGGAATCCTCACAAACAAGCGGAAGTAATGGGGCCATTACCCAGCTTTGGCTTGTGCTGGAAATGGGGTCCAGTGTCCCGTGTCTTGAAGCATATCAATAATGAGGCAAGGCCTGAACATCTGAAGTAAGATCAGTCAGCTCCAAGGAAATTACTATGATTCTTCCTCACAAGAAGAACCGACCCAAAAAAAAAAGAAAAAAAAAAAAAGAAAAAAAAGAAAAAAAAAGAAAAAAAAAAGAAAGTTCTTGTACATACTTAGCAGGATAGTTGTCGTCACCTCATCCAGACTCTCTCACCATGTGAATGAGACCCACTCCCCTTCATTATCTATCCATCCTACCCGATCACTTATAGTTGTTGTCAACTCATCTAGACTCTCTCACGAAGTGAATGTAATCCATTGTCCCTTCATTATCTCTCCATCCTACAAATCATTAAGGTCGGGCCCCCTTCGGAGGCTTTGTACATACTTATGGCAGTGCGGTAACGTTGTTCTCGGCTAAAGTCCATCTGCTCTTTAATCTGGTAGATGCCTTTTGTTCTTCGCTGCATGAGTCAGTTATAAACCTATTGTCAAACAAGGGTTGTCTCATTACGTCCTCCCATCCATGATGAACAACATGGTTTGACAACGACAGTTTTTTCCCACCTTTTTAGGTGAGAGAGTCACAAAGGATGCTTATGTATGTTATTTAGGGGTGTGACTCAAGCGGTGGCGATTTTAAGTGAGAAAGGTTGTTTAGGAAACGGGTCATAATTTCTCGTCCAGCCAAAGGACTGAGACCGAGTGTGTGAACATTCTTTGATGCCTCCGAGGCTAGTCGTTTAATTTGTTCTCGAAGAAGGGGGGTGCAAGAGGCCTCTACGCCGAAGATTGAAGACCAATCGTAACAACCATCTTAAGGACAATGTTGCTACTTGAGTGATTGAGTCTATAATAGACAACCTTCGTTTCTATTTTGTCTGTGTTATAAGGTTTCATGTCACCCTTGATATATAATGATAAATTTCTGGTTCATTTTTATGCCGCTAAATATCTTTTATGGGAGGGTGCTGTAATTCTACTCATAGACCGAAATGTTGATCAGAATTTTGAACCTTAAGGAGCCCAATGCGATTTTACTAATTGCTAATGCCCTTCCCATCATTGTGGTATGCTTGGCATTCCAGTTGATTTTTTTGCTTTTCAAAAATTGGTTATAAAAGTCATTCGCCGGTTTGATAATTAAAGAAGTTCGATCCTGAAGGTTGATCCACCATCCCAAATCTTACTGCCCCAATAAATTGTTATATCAAAGAGTAAACAAAATCATTGAAGTAACATATGATTCTCCTCCATATTGGACAAAGTGGAACCCAATCATCAATGTATAACGTCATCTGCAAACAATGAGCAAACAGAAATAACATCATTAGGAAGTGATGCTACCCTGATTCTGCTTATATCCTTATTTGCTTTCAAGATTGTTGTTAAAACCTCCATAATTATAAAAAACGATTGAAACGAATAGAAAATCGGTGATAGTGCGATGGTTCCTAATGTTCATTTTATCTCATTTTCTGCACTGTACTCGAATGATTCATTTGCCAACCATCTCGTCAAAGACCCCCTTATCTTAGATAAACGTATAATATCCATTTGATCTTTTAAAAGGTGATCCCACACTACTTCCTATAATTCTTTAGAGATAAAATAACTTATAGGGGACTTATCCTCCTCTGTTTGGAGAAGGGTTGCTCATACCTCGTCTTATGTTGGTGGAGCATCCAAAAACTTGTTTTGTTTGATATGTTGATTGAGCAGGGCTAGAGATTTTTTTTACAATGTTACTATGTTTTTTTAAATAAAAATTATCAAATTTAAAAACTAAAACTATATAAATATTTTAAAAAGTTTAGATGTGACCCAAATGTTCCAGAACATCAATATTTGAATGTTTGAGCCTTTGAGGCTAACATTTGTTGTTTCGAGATATAAAGTAGACGTCGTACCTTTACATTTATATTTTTTAAGCATACTTCCGATTGCTATTCCTTGCCGCCTATTTTCAAAGATTTATCGTAGTTTTTATTTTGAAGTTTGAATTTTTAATTAATTGCCTAAATTTTTACTTCATTTTCTTCTTGGTTATGTTTTTATAGATGTAGATGCTATAGCAATTTAGTCATTTTCATCTTATGTTGACTTTTGCAGATAAAACAGACCATTCTGGTCGTTTTTTTTTGCATTTTCTTGCTAGACAAAACAAACCATTAACCATATCACGATTAATTCAAATCCGTGTTTCAGACCAAATTTTCATCAATCAATAACATTTTAAGATTATTATCATTTATTATCATTTAAGCAAAGACATATTCAACTTATAGTAGTTTTTCCCAACATCTGGTTTCTTTCTAAAAGAGAGGGCTACCATATTCATTAATATTGTTTAAACTTTAAAGGTTTGAAAACCCTGTAAGAGCCTGATACTAGGCTGATAGCAATATCCAATTCTCTATTGGATATTTTGCATGAGAGATTTCAGCAACCCCCTCATTGTATAACAATACTCATAAACACTATAACGGAGGGATATTTGCTAGACCAAACATATTTGTCATTTTTGAGGTATGCGAAACACAAATGAGAGAAAAATCAAATACAAAATATGAAACAACTACGAGAACAAGTTGTAGAGTGCAGATGGGAAGCATAGGTTCACAAAGTTTGAGCCACAGAGAGGCAAGCAAAAGCATCACCGCACCTTTTTTTTTTTTTTTTTTTTTTTCAATGACAGCATTACAATATCAATCACAGTTCTCAGACTGGTTGTACAGGAGTTCAGTTGCCACTCTGCAGCCATCTCCGACGATTCTCCTTACTCCAATGTCACCTTGCTCCTTTCCACTCCAGGCAGGTCACCTTTCTCCTTTCCACCTCCCACCACCAGGCAGATATCAGAAACTCTGAACTGTGTTGCATATTGAGGGCGATTTTGTTTTTTTCCAGAGAGCTGAGAAGAGTTCGTTTCTACTTGTTTCTAGTAGCAGAAAATGTCAACCAACCACAACTCCTCGAGGCAACGCATTTCATGGACCCAAAGAAGCGCATTCCTTGGGCCCTCGTGCCCGAGAACTTCAGTGAGAAGTCAATCCAATCCTCGTCCTGATATGCGCTGAGCGTCTGATGCAACATGTTGCCACTCTCTCTCTCTCTCTCTCTCTCTCTCTCTCTCTCTCTCTCTCTCTCTCTCTCTCTCTCTCTCTCTCTCTCTCTCTC